ATTCATTTCTTCAATTTCAGCAGGTCTTGCTTTCAACTCATCAGAAAAATTTTCAGGATCATCAAAGACCTTTGCAACCCTTTGTTGGACCAAATTGGCCCTCATTTTCTACTTCCATATAGAGTAATCCCCTTCCATCGAATTGTGATGATTCGAACTTCGAACCCATTACGGATTCTGTAAAAGGTGGTTTGTACTCGTAGACATAGCAGAAAAGGTTTTGAAAAACAATTTTCAGATAATCAATGTAATGAAAACTCAAGTCAAAAAGTGTTCAGAAATTGAAGAACGGTAAGGCAAATATTTGACAGTGTATGAAAACAATTCGACCAAGAACCTCAGTCAAATATATATGAAGGTACGAAAGAAGCTCAAACAGCTTAAAGATATATGATGCAGATATATGTATTTCAGAATTTCAAATTAGTCACAAGAATTCAGAAAACATACAATCTATTATTTATATATTATTTACAGGAAAAAATACCAAACTGGAAGTTAAAGAAGGTTTGGAAAGATCTTATCAATACTGTTGAAAAATAGTAGTATTAACCCAAAGCCCTCAATTGAGCCCAATAGTCAGAGCAAATGATCAACCAACTACCCATACCAAAAATAAAATAGTCAGTATCGACCAGAGTCAAGATCCCAAAAATAATACTATATTTTTAGACCTTTGAAGGTCTATACATGTGTGTAATCGAAATACCCAAGAAAAAGTTATTATGTAAAATAAAAGAAACACAACCGGAATCCTAAGCCAACTCTGATACCAATATTGTTGGGATTTTATGTATGAAACCACTTCTCAATATGAACTATAAAGTACAAATGTACAAAAGCAGTAAAGAAAAGAAAAAGAACACGGATATGTTGACCCAATTCAGCCAAAATGGACTAATCTGGGGGGCTCAAGAACAGCCCGTTCCACTAGCACAAAAACACCATCCAAGAGAGAGAGATTACATCAAACCAATCAGTTCCACATTTTTGGTCATCGATCATAAGATCTCGCAAAAACAGAGAGTGAAAATATACACAGATCTAACCCAACACTTAGGAGAAAAACTACACGAAATCAACCACTCTTTCAGGCTTGATTTAACACCAAACATTCACCTCCTAACGGCCAAATCAATTACAGAGAACCTCACAAGATGAAGAAAACACAGACTCAAACTCGATGGAGCCAAAAAGGGAGAGAGAGAAACGAAGAGTCCAGAAGAAGAGTAAAGTGTATGGCTTAACAGTAACTCAGCACGCGATATTATCTCAAGAATAAATCTTAGCCATTGATTTCATCTAACGGTCATCATCAGTTTTAACTAGCACAATCCGTGTGGAAGGCTCAGCTACCAATAAATAGTTGCCACTGAAGCAGTTCAAGCCAAAATTCGTAGCTAAGGCAATTGACACAAATAGCACTGTTTTAAATGTGTTTTGAGAAACACAACTCTCACACTTTCATAATCCGTCCATTGTTCTGTTATGAGTTTTCATCTTTGCTTGGTGCAAACTAAATGGCTTGTTATATCGTCGGAGCTATAGAATGAGTGATAGCAAATATCGCTTTGAGAACAACATTTTCGTCAAGTATCCGAGCCTTCTATTTCGATTACTTTCAATCCTTTCAGCTTCTTTATCTTTCGTATAAAAAAAGATATCAGAAGTTGACAAGATTTCGTTTTGCACTAGAAAAGAGAAAGGTAGACAATATCGATCTAGTAATGAATCTAACTAAAAATGAGAAATAATTGATGTAATTGACTACATTATTTAAGGATTGCTTGACAAGATTTTGAGATAAAAAATTGTAGCAAATTTTGATAAGATTAATGGTACATGTACAAATTAGAGATGAACCCGTGACATAAAATGAAAATATCAATAAAGCAGGTCTCATAGTCACACATTTAATTGGTTTTATCATTTGACCTCATAGCACATGAGGACGATCTTATAAAATGTGTGGTCAAAATTGAAGTTTGAAATGTTGAAAAATTGATAAAATTTCATCAAAGTTTTATCAAATAAGCACTTGGACTTCTATATTTGTCATATAAGATATAGATTCACAAGATTTTTTATAATAGCGATGAGAAAAATATAAATGGGTGTTTTTAATCTCAGTCGAGAAAGAAATCAAGATTTGGGTACGAGTCTTAATTTCACATCTCTTAAGAAAAGGATATTAAGAAAACTCAGAGGACAGTGTTAGAACCCCGACGAGAAAGATTTTTAAACTATCCATTGTGTTAGAAGAAAGAAATCAAGAGTTGAATTCGAGATTGCTATAAATTCGAATCTAGTGGGTATTGAAAAAGAATAGGAACTAACGAGACTGTGTCCACATGTTATCACTAAGGCCCATGGCTAGGTTGCTGAGTTCCATTTCACTTTGGAAGGGTATCCACCTAAGGTCAGCCCAAGCACATGAGAAGAATGAAATTAAATTAAGAGGCAGGTATATTTTGAAGCTCCCTTTATTATGTTGCACTAATTTCTTTTCCCTAATAGATACAGTGATGTGAAGCTTTTTTAGAAGCAAAAGGATGTGCATCACACATTTAAAATCTACGAACATCCCCCACTCGAACACTCTACCATAACAAGTATTTAGCAATTGGCCTTTCAAAATTATTTTCAACCACACATTCTATAGAACCTACAACTTTTCTCCAATATTCTATTACACGTTCTGAAAAAAATTTACCTTACAAAATCGGTACCGAACATGAGTAGAAGTGATATTTTCCTTGAAGCATCTCGAAAAAAATAAAGATAACCATTATGTCTGTGAAAACCAACCATGCAACAAAAATTTACAGTAATAGCTAGATGACTAATTTATCAGTCTGTCTAAGTAATCATAATAAGTTTGCATAATCTAAACCAAACAAGAAAGGTTGATAAGAAGAACATTTAAGAGCCACTATTAGTGCTTTTAAGATCCCAAGATAGATTAGAATAACAATGTGCCTTTATCAAGTTTCTGATGAAAATGAAAAAGAAAAACTATTTACAAAGACGTAGCTTGAAATCTTGTTAATTTGTCCAGGGTTTCTCAAGAACTCGGGTTCTTCCTATCACCAAGCACACGAGCCCAGTTTGGCTTAGCATGGCCTCGTTTCAAAGCTTTTACTCCCACCGGATTGTCCTTGCTCTGCCACAACAAATTACAGTATCAGCATCAATAGTTTTTCATGAAAAAGAAATGAAAATATTGCAGTAAGATGATAGGATTACCATTAGGCAAGTTCCGGCTTTAAGATCACAGATGGGATAGTCATGTGGGCAGCAGCTCGACTGGTCGTCGCAGCAAGTAGCAGACTCCAACGGACAGCATCCCCAGCCGAAGCAGAAGTTGCCATACTGGTACACGCAGCAGCACGTGCTTCCTTCCGGGCAGGTGTAGTAATCATCACACACAGTCGGAGGTTTAACTGGGGTTGGAGGGGAAGGTCCAGGCTTAGGAGGGTTCTGACCATTCTTGAGAGGGTACGAGGCCTCTATTGCTATCCCGCACTTCCCTGTTTTCGTATTAGCCATATTGCGCTGGAGCCTGATGTACCCGCTCTCTCCCCAATTTGGACCCCATGAATTTTTCACAATCCAATAATCTAGGCCGTTTTCTGTACCATATCCAACAGCAACAACACCATGGTCTAGTTGTGTTCCACAACGTCCAGTAAAGACACCCTTAACAGCACAATGATACACAATATTGTCAGGAAGTGAAATAGCTTGCTCAGCAAATGCTAATATTATTTGCATGATGATAACTAGTTGGAAAAGTATGTTAGATGCAAAAATACGTGAAAAAAAGTCTCTGGAGGCAGCACTTTGCCACTCGACTATACACTAGGAAGGCAAGAGGGAGGAGGGGGGTCGGTGAGGAAGAAGTAGCTTAAGAGGCTACACTGCCATAAATGATGGAAAAACACTCGCAGTCATTCATCTTCAGAAGTTACATCTACGTAAATATT